CAACATGTTTATCGAAACCCGTAGGGCGGAATTCAACGAAACTTTACATGAATGTTCGTGTGTGACAGGCGGTGCTCAAAATTATTTTCGTTTTTCGATCGGTCATCCAACTGGTCAGCCGGATGGCGGCCTCTGATTGGTCGAAATTTAGACGTTGTTCGATTTTGATGAAAATTGGTATATTTGGGCCGAAAGGTCAAAGACAAAGTGGATCTCTGACTTTGACCCTTGCTCTTGCAATTGATGGAGGAGGTATTGAAGGTGAAATAAAACAAATCAAAGCTATAAATGAGTATTGCACCGGTATTTACATTTCTGTAAGCCCGGCAAATATGGAGGTGGAAGGAAACAAGACTCACATCATAGTAAATGTAAAATGTACATTATGCTTCCTTGTGCTTCTTTTTGAAGTCCAAATGCCAAACGTCAAGCTCAACTATATGTGTAGATTGCTTCTTGGTGATTATGGGGGATATATTCCCCGAGACGGGGCCCTTACTGACCTGAGTGATAATCTATAAATCCGATATGGTCTAGACTTAATTAAAGCTTTCCATCACCATGCCTATCAAGAACCGTGGTGTATGTATGCATATTATATTGGTCAAAACTAGCCACATGTTAAATGACCACTGCTTATGATATTACTGGAAACAACCGTTGTTGTTTGCTGGCGCAGTGGACAGAGCACGCGCCTTTTACACACATGGTCAGGATTCTATTCCCTAATCCGCCGTGAAATGGTATGAAGTCATCTGCCCTACCAAGTGTGTTTATCCTATATTTAAACACTAATGAGAGCCGCTACCATTTGGCGTATAACAGTGATTATTTAAATTTTAGAGTTTAATTTTTGAAAGAAATCAAGAACAGGCTGTCTTCAGAGCTTTGCTTTAGACCTAAAATTGAGTTTTTTCTGGCTTAGATTTACTTCCTTTTGGCAAATAATTCACCTTTTACTTTTTAATTCTTATCAGAAACCTCTTTGGAGACAAAGTGACAGCCTTAATAGATGGTACATATATTTATATTTAAAAAAGTGCTGTCAATAAGCTTCTGAGAATGTCTTACGGTGGCTAGAAGGAGCGTAATTACTAGGTCAATGGGTCCGAAGGACCAAGGTGAGCTTAATTATGCCATACCGTGGCGCCTGTCGTCCGTCGTCCGTGCGTCAACAAATTCTTCAAACGATTTCTTCTTCTTAACCACTGATTGGAATTTAGTTAAATTTGACCGGAAGCATCCATATGTGGTGGGGATTCAAAATTGTACAAATGGTGGGGCTGACCCTCCAGGGGGCTGAGGGGCAGGGCCAAAAGGGGGCAATTTGGCTGTATTGCTATAAACGACTTCTTCTGTAGAACTATGCCATGATATCAATTATATTTGGTCGGAAGCATTTATGGGAGGCAGGGATTCAAAATTGTACAAATGGTGGGGCTGACTCCCCAGGCAAAGGGGTGGGGCCAAACAAATGTATTACTTGGAAATGGTTGAGATCCCCACCCTATAACCATATATACAATTGCTGAGTATAAAGAAATGAATGCACATACGCTTCCAGAATGGCATTGGGGTCTGCCTCACCCTTGGAGACTTAATCTCTGGGTCATAACTTCGAAACGGTTAAGATCCCCACCCAAAATTATATATACAATTGTTGGGCATAAAGAGACGAATGCAGTCATGATATTAGAATAGACCCTGGGGTCTGACCGAACCCCTAGGGACCTAGTTTCTTAGTCACAGCTTGGAAACAGTTAAAATTCCCACCCTTTAACCATATATACAATTGCTGAGTATAAAGAGATGAATGTACATACGCTTCCTGGATGGCCTTGGGGTCTGCCTCACCCTTGAGGATATAACCCCTGGGTTAAGATCCCTACCGGATCAGGGGTCAAATGTGTCAAACACTTCAAACGACTTCTGCTGAAGAACTGAAAGGTATAGAATCCTTATATTTGGCTGGTTGCTTCCTGGGATAGAGCTTGACACAGTTTAAAAAAGAAAATGACCTTGACGTATTTCAAGGTCTCCGGTGTCAAATGTGTCAAACACTTCAAGCGACTTTTGCTGAAGAACTGAAAGGTATAGAGTCTTCATATTTGGCTGGTAGCTTCTTGGGGTGTATCCCAAGAAAATTTGCAAATAAAGATTACCTTGACCTTTTTTCGAGTTCATTGGGGTCAAAAATGTTAACACTTCAAGCGACTTCTTCTGAGGAACTGAAAGATAGAATCTTAATATTTGGCTGGTAAATTCTTTAGATTGAGCATGACGACGTTCGTGAATTAAAATGACCTTGACCTACTTTCAGGGTCACAGGGTTCAAATATGTCAAAAACATCAAATGACTTCTTCTGAATAATCAAAAGGCATAGAACCATACTATTTGGCTGGTGGCTTCTTGGGATAGAGCTCACCAAAGTTTCCAAATGAAAATGACCTCAACTTGCTTTAAAGGTCACAGAGGTCAACAACATTTCAAACGATTTGTTCTGAAGAACCAAAGGAATGGATTCATAAGATTTTGCTGGTAGTTTCTTGGGATAGAGCCAACAAAGTTTGAGAAGGAAAATGACCCTGACCTGCTTACAAGGTCACAGGCAAAAATATTTCAAACACTTCAAACAACTTCTGAAGAAGAACCAAAACGCATAGAATCATATACTAATATTTTGCTGGTAGTTTCTTTCAACAGATGGAGCTGACAAAGTTTGCGAGAGAATTATTTGTAGTACAGTATAGTATTCAATGAGAATATTTTGCTATGACTGCTTAAATATTCAGGTGAGCGATACATTTATCGAGTTATGGCCCCTTGTTGAAAAATACTTGTCCTGACAACTTCTCCCAATCTACTCAACCAATTTCAAAGTTTACAGATATAGTTACTGATGTTGTGCATCCAAGTAGTACTTTTTCATTCCAACCCTTTTAAAAGGAGTTATGGTTCTTTGTTGAAAAAAACATTGTCTGTCTCCTAAATTACTGGTCTGATTTCAAAGAAAGTTAACAGATATGGTAAATACCCCCTGATGTCGTGCATCAGGTAGTATTTGTTTTATTTCGATACTTTTCTAAGAAGTTATGGCCCAATGTTAAAAATCTTTGTCCTGACAACTCTTCCTTACTATGACGATTTCAGCAAATCAGGTTCATCTGGGCTAACAAGATTTGGTTTGCAAGTATGTTTTGCCGTAGGGAGGGAGTACAGAAAGTATGCCACTTACCTATATACTTAAAAAAGTGTACAGATCAGTGAATAAAGCAATCGTTACTGATAGGAGACTATATTGCTTTGCAATGCTTTACCTTACTTAGCCTTTAGGTTATAGTTCTGGTTTATATTAGAGCAGGGGTATAAGTAAGCCTTTAGCTTACAGTTCTAGTTATATCATGTAAGGCATTTATGGAATTTCTCTTCAAAAGTGGTTCATGAACACATAAATTTCAACAAATGCTATACCGTCCGGGGGCCGAACGTTACCCGTTCTCACCTACCATGACATGTTGACGTTCTTATTGGTGTAACAATTAAATTCAAGTTATTTGACTTTTGTTTTGCTTTGCACTATTCTGTATAATACAACAATTATTGCCGAAATGTGATTTGCATCTGTTTAAAACTTCTTTTGTCGAGACTGGAAGCAAAATAAAAGCATATTACTACATCGTTTTGTTATTTCGTCTATTTAGAACTAAACAGTGGTAGTAAATGTCACAAGAATAAAAACATAACTAAAGATTTTAGAAAACACAGAAAGGTGCCTTCAAAACCTTTTTATAATGTTGCAAATTAAATAACCTCTTTCGGGTTGACAATTCGGATTGAACACCTCAAAATATTTGTACAATGACAAGAATAATTTTAGCAATATCAATGAAACGTGTCATTCAAAAATACATAGTTCAATTAGTTGCTTTTTTTTGCCATTTGCCATTTGGCAGCTTGGTACCAACAATTTTTGCCGGATTTCTTATCGTTACCGGCGACCAGGTCAAAGGGGGACAACTGCATATATATTTGGGAAACTCAAATGTACTGCTGTTTATATTTCAATTTTTGCATGGGTTCGACACACTTCGCAAGACCTGTGTTGCTTGTCCAGCTTTCAACTCCTAATAGAACAATGTTTCAGGAAACATGTTCTCCCTTTTCGTTGTGTCTTCCATTTATGACGGAAACGCATGCCATGAGCCCGTATTTATGAAATCATTCCCATGCTTAAGCAAGAATTTTGTGCTCAAGCCTAATTTCTTGTTCCGGTTACAGATTAATAAAAAAGTCTTATTTTGTCAATGATTTGGAAAAGAATTAAAGGCCGTAACCTGTTTCTAATGTCTACATTTGAGTTTTTGATCGTTTGACAAGCTTTAAGTGAGTTACAAGAAAACTGATATGAACACATAATCCATGCTTGAGCATGAGAACGGTTTCATGGTTACAAGCCCAGGGCCCGTATTCATGAAACCTTCTCGTGCTCAAGTATTGATTTTGTGCTCAAGCCTAATTTCTTGTTCTGATTTTAAGTTAATTTTGAAAAAAATATTAAGGAGACTTAAAGCCAAATACTGTTTTCAAAGTTTACATTTGACTTTTTGATCGTTTGACATGATTTAAGAGAGTTACAAGAAAGTTTGTTTGAGCTCAGAATCCATACTTGAGCATGAGAACGGTTTCATGAATACGGGCCCAGGTGTCGCTTGTCCTGTGTTCGAATTTTAGTGGAATTCTAAGGTATACATATTCTGTTGCTATTATTCCCGAATTCGACTCCTGCAAGAAGCACGCTCTGTCGCCAGTCCTGGGTTCGACTCATACCGTTTTGGTAAACAGTGTCGCCAGCGAGTAACCGCTTGCACTTGTTAGGTGAAAGACAATAGCATGACGTCGTGATCGGTAAAATAGAGATACCCACTTGTGACGTCACATAATTGTTGCTTAGCTGCTTAGCAATCGGCAAAGGCGGAGATGATCAGTCTCTCCCCTGATATTTACTTCTTTCGTTTGAATCTTCAATAACCACAATGAATATCAGATTATTCTTGATATTTGTGGTATTGATGTGCGCCATACACCAAGGGCCTGCTGTATATCGGGACCTTACGTGGTAAGTTTGGACTAGACATGGTAAGATTTGATCTTAGATGTTATTTTTTGACTTTATATTTCGCAAAGATCTCGCGGCGCTCAAATGAATGTCAATACTCTTTTCAAGTATTGTGTTTTTATTGAATGTTTAGAAATATTTACTTTAAACTTAATCAATGTATCTCTGTAGCGTGGAGCCCGAGCCAGGATATGCCAAAATATTGTTTTATCATTTCACCGCAAGTGAAATTGAGAAAGTCTGTCCAACGGTTACCGACCTGACATGGGTAAGGATTATTTATCTTTAATGTTAACGACTGTCATGAAAACGTCAACAATTTCCCCCCTTATAATTAAGTAAGCTTGTGATGATGCGTATTTTATTCTACTTCTCACAAAAATAAAATACCTATTATTTTTTACGTGCGTGCATTTCGTTTGTGTTTTTCGCAATTTTTATTAGCCGCCGGCTATAAAACGGGTTTCTCCTCCTGTGTCGGTATCTTAGGGATTTCTTCTTCTTTGTCGTACTGGGGCTCCTTCAATTTGATGTTTATGCCCTCGGGGAGTCCTGTTGCAGAGGCGTGAAAAGGTGGTTATTTACAGTGATTAGGTGTTTTTTTGTGATTTTTTTTTTGTGCAAGGTATATATAAAAAGGTAAAATCTGGCCTATGTTAAGCGTGATATGAGGGCTTCAAGGGCTGTGTAGGGTAAGTGTGCCTTGAAGTCCTCTAGTGTTGTGAATTGTACTGCTGCTATGGGAAGGAGATTCCATTGTGTTATTGTGTGTGGAAAGAATGAATATTTGTAGGTGTCCTTTGTAGCAGATATGTGTTTATTTGCGTGAGGGTGTGCATGTCTTGTGCGAGGGTCTACGGGTGTGAGTATATGAGTTGGGTTTAAAGCTACTATTTTGTGTATGATTTTGTAAAAAAGGATATTTCTTGTGTGACAGCGCCGTGTGTGGATCATATCTGTTACGGAGCTAGTGTTGTGGTATCTGTTTTGTACGTAGCGTGCTGCTCTTCGTTGTGTTTTTTTTTCTATTTGATTAATTTGGTTTGTGTTGTGTGGATCCCAAATGGAAGAGCAGAATTCAAGTTTTGGCTTGACTAGTACTTTGTATGCATGTTCTTTTATATGTGGTGAGTTTATATTTAAGTTGCGTTTTAGAAAACCTAAGGACCTATTGGAATTGGCTGTGATGTTGTTAATATGTTTGCCCCATCGTAGGTTATTTTGTAATGTTAAGCCTAAGTATTTGCTGGATTCTACTTGGTGTAATGTGTGGTTGTGGAGTTTGTAGTCATGGTGTAATTTGTGGTTGTGGAGTTTGTAGTCATGGTGTAATGTGTGGTTGTGGAGTTTGTAGTCATGGTGTAATGTGTGGTTGTGGAGTTTGTAGTCATGGTGTAATGTGTGGTTGTGGAGTTTGTAGTCATGGTGTACTTTGTTGCGTTTCGGTGCAATGTTGAGTATGTAGCGTTTGTCAGGGTGAAATTTCATTAACCAGTCCGTCTCCCATTGTCCTGCTGCGTCAAGGTCATGTTGTAGTTTTAGTGTGTCTTCTTTGTTGTTTATCGTCTTGTATATGATGCTGTCGTCTGCAAACAGTCTAAGTGTGCTGCGGGTCTGGAACATTGATTGCTTGTTTTATAGTACAATTTCCAGAAAATAATTATGATTTGATTTATTTTAGCGAATTGGGAATGAGGCATTCTGTAATCTGCTGTGTGTGCTTCTAACTCTGCTGTTGGGCTATGCGCCGTCGATCGGAAAAGTCGTCAAAGAGAAATGGTCAGCCGCCGTGTCAATGTTCCAAGAATGGAAAGCTCGTAAGTAACCAGCGAATGTTAAGATATTGAATAAAGTCGCAGTTTTCAGTTTTATTGTTCTGTTTACCTTTTGATTCATAGGTTTTCGAAATTAACGTACCCTTTTTTATGAACCAAGGGTTGTAAAACTACCTTAACGCGCCACCTTCCGGATGATACACGTTTGCTAGCTTGGAAACTTTTTCAGTATCGTGCATACCTGTGTTCTCAGACCAATGTTTTGATTAAATATTAAAGTGAATTGTTTGGGAACGTACCGTGTGATTGTGAATCTTGACAGACTTTAATCTTTGAGAAGCTCTTTGGTCATGTTTAAAGGACGGGTGGCACTTTTCTAGCAGCATTGTAATTTGTTAGAATTGGGTGTCTGGAACTAGTCAGACAGTTAACTGTCAGTCCCGGGTTCCGTTATGATAAAATATAAGGATGCATAGAAAGTAATGTTTTGTGTGTCGAAAACTTAAACTTGGGATTTCGAAAATTTGACCTAACATAAATATATTTTTGTACAGGTCTTTCCCTCTGTCGTCACTGCGGTACTGCCCCGTGTCAGGTTAAAAGGAGATCCTTGTGGAAGCCCTCCGGTACTCGAAAGAAAGACAAAGCGAATTTCGCAAAAAGGTCAAACGCCATGATGTTGTTTTACTATGGACTAGAGTCGTCCATGGTACTTACCAAAGAGCTGCCATGGAATGACCTGTACTTGCAGAGGAAGTTCGTCCAGCATTTTGAAGAGGAGCATATGGTATTGTTCCCAGTGTGCATCCAGAGTCAGATCAACTACTGGTACCCTGTCCCTCGCTAGGTATGTACTCTGCCTCTCAACATGTACTATATCCCTCGCTTGATTGGTGTTATTTCCCTCTCTATGTACTCTGTCCCTCGCTAGATTGGTACTATATCCCTCGCTAATAACACTGTCACTCACTAGGTACTATGTCCCTCGCTAGGGTGGTGCTATATCCTTCTCCAGGAGCACTGTCACTCATTAGGTATAATGTCCATTACTATGTAGGTACTTTTCCTCTGTAGGTACTCTTCCTATGTAGGCACTCTCTCTCTCTCTAGGTACTATGTCCCTCTCTAGGTACTATGTCCCTCACTGGGTTGATACTATATCCTTCTCTATGTAATATGTCCTTTGCTAGGTCGCGATAATGTCTCAAACCCTTCCCTCATTAGGTAGGCTACCTTTTCCTGGCTAGGTACGTTCCTCCCCAAAATATTCATGATAAAAAAATGGAAAATATTGTTTTGATTTTGAATAATCAATTTAATGACTATAGTGTAAAGAATTTTCCGCGATGTCCTTACTACAATCACGACAACAAATTCTGAGGTGGAGAACGGATAAATTGTGCATTAAGTTTATTTATTTTATTGCAGATTCGTTGCGCCGTTCAAAGAGAAAACTGAGGATGGCAGTCGGTGATGGAATAGAAGTTTGATGATTGACGTACCAGTCTCGTTTTGATTGTCTTAGTTCTTTTGGGGGTGACCCGATTGGAATGCTGTCTGACCTATGTTACATATATTGTACCCTATATTTGTTAAATTGAATTGTAACTGTGCGGATCTTGGCCACTAGTGGTTTCATGAATAACTAAACCGATACCTGATGAATTGACCATTTCGAACTTAGCTAGTGTTGGCCAGCAGTGGTCCAATTTATAAATCTCGATGGTGTTGAGTTGTCTGATTGGTCAGTTGCTAACATTTTTCTTTTGGTCATTATGTGATTTGAGAAGGTGTAGAGCTGGAATTTGACCTTGTAGCATTAGTCAGTTTGAAGTCAGTTCATCTTCTTTTCATTTTCATTTTCATAAGAAAAAAGTGCCTTGCGTTTGTTGATTAAGTACATATGATCAGTTCTATCAATGTTGATGTCGATCTGTAATGGGCCTCTGTAGATGTTTCTAATATTTGTTGTTTTGGTCATTTGGATAGTTGAGCTTTCGTTGTAAGCGATATTGGTGCTTTAGCGGACATTTGCCAAATATATAATTATAGGTACAATTAAGTTCAAACCACCATTGGTTTCACACTAATTTAACAAGTGCTTGGTATTTTCTCTAATCAAATTGAACTGATTCTGCAATGACCACTAATGGTCCGAGGTGTTGTCGTGGTCAGTTATACATTCAGTCAAGCTGACCACTAATGGTCTGATGTGTTGTCGTGGTCAGTTATACATTCAGTCAAGCTGACCACCAGGTTCTGTAGAATTACCAACATGTAAAGTTCTGCTCGTTTTGTATTGGTCAGTTTTGTTCTGGCGAATTTTATGTAGTACAACTAACAATCATGTGATCAATAACATATCCTAAAATCGATTTTTGTGTTCATGTTATATTTTTGTAACCGTCCTGTTAAACATGTCATAAGCTTCGTGAAAACGTATGAAATGCCATACATTGAAGTGAGACTGAACTTTTACTACCGACACCTCGGCCCGTATTCACGAAACCGTTCTCTTCCTTAAGCATGGATTCTGTGCTCAAACAAACTCTGTTGTGACACTCTCGAAAAGTCAAATGTTAACATTGAAATGACGTTCGGCTTTAAGACACAATAATTCTTCGAAATCTTTAACAAAATGATTATTTTACATTTATCACTGGAACAAGATATTGGGCTTGAGCACAGAGTCTGGGTTTGAGCATGAGGACGTTTCCGTCAATACGACCCCTTGATTTACAGACTCTGTTGTCTAAATTCTTTATCTGTCATGGTATATTTTTTTTAAACTGATTTATCTGTCTATATCTCTGTATTTTACTGATACACTAGCTGTCATATCTAACTATGTCATGAAGTCCTCACTGATGTTCGGTACACACACACACACACACACATATATATATTTATATTCACAAAGTATATTATTTAAAAAGAAAAAATGCTCATCAACACGTCCTTAGTATTTTCATCTCATCAAGGAGATTCTTCAGACTGTTTTTTTTAAAGGAGATATTGTATACATACATAATCGTACTAATAGTAAAACAAAAACCTAAATTGACGGCACTCTTTGCCTTGGGGTTTTAAGCAATGAATGTTTTAGCAAATGTTGTTATGGTCGTATAACACACATTGCAGTTAATGACAAACTTAATAAAGCCCTGTCGGGCTTTATGTAAGTTTGTCAGCAATACCAATTTGTGTTATAGGACCATAACAATATATGCTAAAATATTCATTTTTTATATTTAGTTATTTATAGAGTAGTTATATTGAACAGCGAATTCAGTCTTGACAACAATAAAATTGATGACGTCACCATTGAGACTGCTGACTTTAAAAAAGCAAATGTTGTTATAGTCTCGTAACAACATTTGCCTTCTCAATGCAAATGCAATGAAAGAATTTAGAGCAAACGTGAACAAAATTATATACTGTGATATTACTATGGCGGGTACGCATTTCAGATATCGCTGTAGCGAACCATCATGGGAGAACATAGATTATGACGTCCTAATTTCTCATTTGAATAAAATTCAATAGTCTGAAGAATCGCCATTGAAAGTGAAAGTGCTAAGTACGAACTGTTGAGATTTTTCTCTTTTCAGTACAGTATTTCTTCGTTTGTAAGGATAATTTTATTACTGTTTACTAATAATATGTAAATAAGTATATAAATATTGATGCCTGATCATGTTGAGTTCATCTCGTTAATTATATGAGAAGTGATATCACAATAACAATGCAACAAATACAAAATACCAATTACGTGAAGAAACTACGTATACTTCTTTAATTGGATGTTAAGTTTGATAAAAATTGGATGTCAAAATGGAAACAGAAAGTAGATTAACATTAATTTAACTTAGAATCCAAAGTGGATATGACGTAATGTGAATTACATTTTAATTGTACGTCATTTCGATGTCTTTCTCAAAGTCAGGCGAAAACTCTCTGCATACTGTGTTTATCTTACCAAACTATTTCAGAAAGATGTACTTCCAAGATAAATAATTCATATTTTAAAAACGAGAGTGACGTGGAGAATCGAGACGAAAGAATATATGAATGAAATTCTCTTTACATAGATTCAATTTCGTTTTAATAGCACTACAATTTATTTCGGAATAGGTTAATGCAAAATGCGAAAAGATATGTTAAATATGTAATAAAAGTATGTATTGGGATTCCGGAAATACTTTTGGTCCAGGACTGTAGATGGTCTGTTTAATCTACAAAGCAGTTTGAAAATCCTTATGATTCCAAGTGAAAGAAAACAAGAAGTAGCTAACTTATTTCATTCTGTTCCATGTCTTATTTTCATTTATAACAAAGTTAATTTTTGTGATATAAAACATTATTTAAAAAAAACTTGGGTGCAGGTTCGGCCCATGCAACACCATGTCGTAAAATTGGCGGGAAAATCTTACGGTGCATGCTTTATGACGTCCCAATTATGCTGATTCTAACGTGGGCCGAATTTACCCCAGGCTGCCTGTCCGAACTTGCCCCAAGGCGGGCCATGTTCCAGCCATCCAATCCTCCCGACAGAAAAGGTTTACTAATTCTTCAATTACGGACACGTATGCCCTTTTGTTAATTATGTTTTTGAAATTTCTCCTCAAAAATTATATATATATAGATACATTTCAACAAATGCCTTACCCGTCCAGAACGGCTTTAATAAAAATGGGCCGAACTTGTCCCGGTCATCCCTGCCAGATCATGTTGAAGTTCTGATTGGTGTAACAGTTAAGTTGAAGTTAATCGACTTCTGTTTTGCTTTGAAATATTCTGTATAGTAAAACAATTATTGCCGAAATGTGATTTGCATCTGGTTAAAACTTACCTTGCAGAGACTGAATAAAGATTCCCATCCTGTGTCATAAAGTATTGATCGTCTGTTAGTTTAGGAAGGTAAACCAGTGACAATACGTCCAGCCTCCAGTTGTAACTTATCTAATTTATCTGCATCAGCCGGAGAACAACCATCCCATAGTTCACAGTAATATTCTAGATTAGGAAGAATGTAAGATCTATATATTTTATTTAGTGTACATCGGTGAAAAGTTTTTTTTTTATATAATTATATAATTCTTCATCAAAATCATCATCATCATCATCATCATCATCATCATCATCATCATCATCATCATCATCGCATCCATACACAATCGTGGTAGATTAGTATTACTTCGAGTTCTGAATGTGTCTTTTGCGTTTATTCGTGCTACGTAAATGGGGAAAAAATGTACACACGCCACGTGTGTTCCAACATTGTTATGTATTGTAGGTATTTGCTACATTAATTCATACTTGATGGTTATTAGTATATAGTCAGATCAACTAAACACTTGAATCCTATGTACATGTACTGTATAAGCGCCCGAATGACTTTGAATAAATGTTTTTTGTTCACCGGATGTTGTCTTCCTCCTTGTATATGAAACACACATGGCCAGCTACCTGACGAATTCCTCAAACGAGCTGCCTATTAAAGTATGTAAGTGTTACCTGTGTTGGTTTGTGTTCTTTTTGTATTGCGGTTGCCTACGCGATTACACTTTAGAAAACACAACACGGTAACTCGATCATGCATCAAAGGGGCTCGTTACCCCTGCAACTCATCAATACAATAAACAGTATCATCAAAGGGGCTCGTTACCCCTGCGACTCCTCAGTACAACAAACGAATTTATCATGGAAGAAAATGTAAAACCAATAGATTCCAGACGTACAACATATGACAAAATAAAACAAAGAGTATATTTTAATTTACGGTGGATACCCAATTGTTTCCCTTTTTGTTTTTTACAAATTTTTCGATATGACAGCCCCACTTACAGTTTAGTTTAAACTTTCTTTAATTCAAATATTTCAATTATATACATATATATGCAATATACAGGCTACTTCGGCTACGCGTGTACTTTGCTAACGACCCTGACCCAGATGATGTAGAGGATACTCTTTCAGAAGAGTCTCCCGTCGCACCCCTGATCAATCCATTCAAAAATAAAAGTAAATGGAACCCCCCTCCCAGCAGAGTACCTGCTCTCGAAGCGTTCATCAGTGCAGTGATGAACTGCACTGATATAGAATATATCAAATATAGAAAAAATAAAATTAACGACCCACTAAAAACTAGCTGCTTTCACCCTTCACAGGGCTCTTCAGGTTTATTCAAAAGAACCTGAAGAGCCCTGTGAAGGGTGAAAGCAGCTAGTTTTTTAGTCGGTCGTTAATTTTATTTTTTCTATATTTACTTCCTTCACATGGACATTTAATCACTTTTTATTATATATATATATATATNGGCAAATAGCTTAATTGTGGAATTGATTTCATAAACAATGTCATTAATATATACAAGAAATAAAAGAGGACCGAGGATCGAGCCCTGAGGTACCCCAGCTATGATAGATGCCCAGTCCGACTTACAATTATTTAAAATCACCCTTTGTTTCCTGTTATTGAGATAATCTTTGAACCATTTTAGTAAACTACCAGATATGCCAAATTTGGAAAGTTTGAAGAGGAGACCTCGATGCCAGACTCGGTCGAAGGCTTTGCTTACGTCACAGAAAACAACTCGAATTTCTTTGCCTGAATCTAAGGCTTTACCGAAATCATCGGCTATGCTAACGAGTTGGTTTATGGTTGAATCTCCGGGTGTAAAGCCTGATTGACAGTTGGTAATTAGACTATTATCACAAAAGAAATTATGTAAATATTTGAAAACACAGCGTTCAAAGACCTTCCCAATGACACTCAGTAAAGATATTGGACGATAATTTTTTACATCATCACGATTTTCTTTCTTATGGACTGGAATTACGTTCGCCTCCTTCCATAGCGATGGCATTTTTGACAAAGAAAGCGATTTATTAAACAAGAAGGCAAGAGGAACACACAAAGCTGACGCCGTCTCTTTAAGGATTCTAGGACTAATCAAGTCGGGTCCCACGGCCTTAGAAGCATCAAGATTTACCATTACATCTTTTACATCGTTGCTTGTTATAGTAATTTCACTGAGGCTGTTGGGAGTAATGCTGGAGTTATCTTCCGAAAGTAGCGTAGCAGAATCATCCACTGATGATTGACTAGAACAGTAAGTATTGAATACGTTAGCTTTATCAATGTCAGCGTCGTAGCATTTCCCATCATGCAGTAAAGGAGGAATTTGTGTTTTTTTTAGGGTCTGTTTTAACAACTTTCCACCATGTTTTATTACGATTATTATCCATTAGTTGAGAAGATAGTTTGTTGAGATACCTTTGTTTCGTCTGCCTAAATATGTTCTCTAATATTGAAACACATCCACGGTAAATCCTTACTTTAAACTATAATAGATTTGTTTGGAAT